GAGAGTATAATAATCAAAAAGGAGAGGAAAAAAAAAGAATGACTCAAAGCTAGCATAACACGTCGTCACACAACTAAAAGAGGAACAGAGATCATCGAAAACGAAAGAAGAAAAGGGAAAGAGGAAGAAACAAGGGATTCTCCACTTTTTCACTAAAAGAGAAAAGAACACGGAAAAGGTGATGTATACGTACTCGAAAGAAATAGAACAAACGAAGAGGGAGACGTAACAGGGTTCACAGTGAAAAGATCGACGTAAGAGAAAAGATGGCGAGGAGAACCGCTGACGACAAAACTTCCGCAATCAGAATTCATGAATTGGATTGCTGCCAAACGAAACAGAGAAAGAAAAGAGACGGGAAGAAAAGAAGAGAGACACGAAAAGAAAAGAAAAGAAAAGATAAGATAAGAAAAGAGACACGAAAGAAAGGAAAAGAAAAGAAAACGAATTTCTGCCACACAGTCTCTTCGATCGACGTGGAGATAGAACTCGTACGACCAAGCCGTCGCGCGAGCTATACGTGAGAAAACGAACATGCGACAGGATCTGTGCAAAACAGACTGATCATCCTTCATCGGCGACTGGTTTGCTGATCGCCAGCGATCACGAGGACAACGAGGATTTTATAATTAACGAGATCGAGCGGCCCAACAACGACAGATTCAAACGTGAAAAGGGTCGAGACGGACCCGCGTCCAGTCTAACAAGAAAATTCGATTTTTCCCGGCGCCAAAGGATACTCCAAGCTGTTCGCCCTGATGAAGAGATTCGCCCTCAAGAGTTAGAGCCGGGATGTAGTTCGCCCTCAGCAGAAACGATCTCGTGTTGCGTAACGGGCGAACAATTTTTCCCTTTTACTTTTTTCATATTTTTCATCCTTTTCTAGTCTCCTCTCTTCCCTTTTTCTTTCTTGTTTTCGTTACTGAACCGCGAGACGACTACGACACGACGACGACGACTACTCATGAATCGGTTGCATAACGAAAACGGTTTCGCGGCGACACTGTATATTCGTTGCTAATGCCTCCGTTTACTGGTAAACGTGTACGGGTTAAAGTAAACAGCGCAAGAGAGACACGTGAGAATGTAAGATTAAGATCGCCCAGGTACGGTGATGTAAGAGACGTGGCAAAAAGGTAATTTGTAAGAGGACAGAGAAAACAGTGTGTAAAGGCATGCATAGAGAATCACGCCGCAGTGATAATATATGTATATACATATACATACATACATACATATATGTATGTATATATATGTATACATATATACATACACAGAGACAGAGAGACATATACATATGCGTATATCGTACGTATATATACATATGTATCGTATACATACATGTGTACATGTATACACGGTCGATTTTCTAAATAATATTTACGTAAAATTAGAATCACGTAGCACACGTATATACACATGTTGTTCTCACACGCGCAACAAGAGGCAATGGCATTCGTTCGTTCTAACGTACGCACGCACACGCACGGTTCATGGTTCCGTTATCCTGGCCACGCATAAACAAATCCACCGATATGTATATGTATATGTAGAGAAGGTAGCAGAAAACAAATAGAAAAAAGAAAAATGAAATAACGCAACACATACGGGACCACGTACGCAATTACCGGCCACACACCATCTCAAAAAGTTCCAGACAAACACGAGTACGGTCCATTTGCTGATACCAACAAAAGTACTCATCCACTTTGCCGATACCATTTTCTTTCTCTTTTTCTTTTTCGTTTTCTTTTCTTTTCTTTTCTTTTTTTTCTTTTCTATACTTTACTTTACTTTACTTTTTTTTCGCCCGAAACCACAACAACAACGTGTCTCGACACTATCTAACCCGGCACTGTCATTGTTTATTTTTTCTCTTTCGACAGTTTCTTTCGTGAATCGTTTCGTTCAGGATACTCCTATGTTCCCACGAACACACCCAACGGAGAATTGTAAAAACTACTGAACAGTGACATAGCAAATGCACGATACCATCACCACAACACCAAGGAATAATAATGTATATATAAACTGTGTGGTATACCCGTATGTACATAGGGGCACGCGCGCCGCGTACACGTATATACATACAAAATATACAAGGATAAATTTACATCCAACAAGAAAAGTTTGTTCGTGTTCTAAAAAAGAGTTACCACTCACTACGCTTGCCAGACTCGGAAATAGAGGGATGCTCGCTTCGTACGCCTATGTACGACTCGACGCGCAAAAATCCTTGCAAACGTGCATGCACATCTCCCTCGATTTCTTTAGACGTCACGTATTTCCCCCGCGCCGCGGAACAATGCTACCGCGCCCCGACTGCGCGATCCCGATTTCTCATCGAATTTTGTTAAATCCGGCGTGCGCTCTCGCACCTGTTGACCCGCGGTGTGCTCGCACACACACACAACACATACATCAATTGACGAAATATAGAAAGCCCACGTGTTAC